AAGCCTGTGTCTTTTTATAGGTGAATTAAGTCCATTGATATTAAGGAATATTAATGACCAGTGATTGTTCATCCCTGTTTTTTTTTTGGTGGTAGTGTGTGTGTACTTCTCTTCTTTGGGGTTTACTGCTGTGGCTTTATCTATTGCCTGTGTTTTTGAGGGTGTATCTGACTTCCTTAGGTTGGAATTTTCCTTCTAGCACTTTCTGTAGGGCTGGGTTTGTGGATAAGTATTGTTTAAATCTGGCTTTGTGACCCATCCAGCAGGCCAGGTTATTAGGTAAGACTCGAGGAGGCTCCTCCTAAAAAACCAATGGGGGCAAGAGAGAAAAGAGACCAAGCACGTAAAGAAAACAGAGTCAGTCTGAGTTGCGTCAAGGTCTCATTTATTGCAAGGGGAAGCAGGTTTATATATGCTGGTAGATACGAGAAATGAATAGGGGAGAAGGGGGGGGGATGAAAGTTTGAAGAATAGAAGAGTAGGGTCCGGGTGAGGTCTCTTTGAAGAAAAGGATCGGGACAAGGTCTCCTTGGTCCAAAGCTTGTGCAACTGACCAACCTGAACATGTTCAAGGAAGTTATTCTAAAACTATATTAATCTAAAGGTACATTTTGTGGTTTTTCCAGGAGTTATTGTTTTTTGTAACTTAGTAACAGTTGTCAAGGGTGTAGTTATGTCAGATCATCCAAGCAAGAAAGATCAGAGCGCAGTCATCCATTTTTTGGCTCCCAACAGTTTTGTCTTGGAATGTCTTGTTTACTTCATCTATGATGATTGAAAGTTTTGCTGGGTATATTAGTCTAGGCTGGCATCCATGGTCTCTTAGTGTCTGCATTACATCTGTCCATGTCCTTCTGGCTTTCAAAGTCTCCATTGAGAAATCGGGTGTTATTCTGATATGTTTGCCTTTATAAGTCACTTGGCCTTTTTCCTTTACTGCTCTTAATATTCTTTCTTTATTCTGTATGTTTAGTTGTTTAATTATTATGTGGTGAGCGGACTTTTTTGGGAGGGTCTAGTCTGTTTGGTGTTCTATAGGCTTCTTGTATCTTCATAGGCATTTCCTTCTTTAAGTTGAGAAAGTTTTCTTCTATGATCTTGTTGAATATATTTTCTGTGCCTTTGAGTTGGTATTCTTCTCCTTCCTCTATCCCTATTATTCGTAGGTTTGGTCTTTTCATGGTGTCCCAAATTTCTTGGACATTTTGGTTCATGACTCTGTTGGCTTTAGTGTTTTCTTTGACTGATGAATCTATTTCTTCTACCGTATCTTCAATGCCAGAGATCCTCTCTTCCATCTCTTGCATTCTGTTGGTTATACTTGCATCTGAAGTTCCCGTTGGTTTACTCAGATTTTCTATTTCCAGCATTCCCTCTGTTCGTGTCTTCTTCATTTTTTTTCTATTTCCCTTTTCAGGTCTTGGACTGTTTCCTTCATCTGTTTAATTGCTTTTTCATGATTTTCTTTCAGGGCTTTATTGTTTTTTTTCCAGGACTTTATTGTTTTCTTCTGCTTTATTTGTCCTTTCCTCTATTTTTTTATAGCATTCTTCCCATTTTTTGTTTGTCTTTTCCTCAATTTCATTTGTGATTCCTTCTATATAAGCCTCTACCTTCTTTCAGTGGCTGGGGTCTCAGGCAGATGGGCATGGGGGCAGGGCATGGAGATTACAGGGCTGCTGGGGGTCTTGGAGAAGGGGAGCCTTCCTGGTGCCGGTGGAAGGGATCCTGCCCAGTGGCCAGAACCTGGGGCCAAGTTGGGCAGGTCTTCCCCAGAATGGCTGGTGCCCAGGGATGGGATTTAGGCTGAGCCCAGGCACTCACCTCTTATCCAGATGGGAAGTCCCGGAAGCCATTTCTTAAAGGAGCTGCCTCTGCTTGCTGTCAGCAAACAGAGCCCACCCAAGAAAATGCAGCTACCAAGAAGCCATGTTTGATTTCATTTTTTTTTTTTGGTGTGTGTCTAGAATATTTTTTAAAGCTTTGTCAGGTTTTATGTGGAAATTTCAGCCACATGTTGGTATACCAGAATGTAGGCAGAGTTTTCCCATTCTGCAGTCACTGAGGCTTATATTAATTATAAATGCTCTGTTGGTAGCTCAGGCTTATTACTCATTCTATTAATCTACATTCTGCCACATGGCTTGTGACTTTAGCTGCCCTCCAGCATGTCCTGCTCCCTCTGATTCCTGGTGACTCCTCCTCCTCCGACTCCTCCCCCTCCTCCTCCTTCCCAGAGTCTTCTGTTTCAGGCTTTCTCACCTAGCTTCCTGCCTAGCTACCAGCCTGTCAGATTTTTATTAACCAGTGAGAATAATACATTTTCATAGTATATAGACTCTTTAGTGTATTTCACTGACTGTATGCTCTTCTGGCAACTGCTTTGGAATACAACATCCTAGCCAGAGACTGTTTTTTCTTTCTAGTCTCCCAATTCTGCCACCACAGTAGCAGTATAGTCCTCTTTGCTTAGCAATGAGGTTGCTTTATGGCCCCAGCTCCTGCTCTCCAAGCGCACGCAGTTTTTTCCTCTAGTTGCATAGAATGGCTTCTGTGACCATGAGCATTCTAGACTCTCAGGGACTGACACGGTAGTAGATGTGAGAGACTTTCCCAGTAAATGTTACCTGCTGGAAGTACACATGCAAGCTTGGCACACATTTGCCAAATAAATTTGGCTGGTTCAGCACTTTCAGGGCAAATGCCCACACTGCTGTGTGGATGACTCAGCCTTGCTTCTCTGAAATTCTAGGGTTTGGTATTTGGGAGGTTGTAGACTTTTTTCTTCTTATTGTTCAACAGTGATGCTCATTGGCTTATATGTGATCTCCAGTACACTTCAGAATCGTTACAGAAAAGGAGGAAGGACAAGAGGCATCTCTTGTGAGAATTTAAAATGTGATGATTACTCTCCCCTCCTTTCTCTCTATACACACTCTCTCTCTTCCTCCCTTCCCTCTCTCCCTCTTGTGTGTGTGTGCGTGCGTGTGCATGTGTGTGTATGTGTGTGATTCAGTTGAGGTTCCCTCTTCCTAAATGACTCTAGCTTGTGTCAAGTTGACATAAAACTAGCCAGCACAAACTGAATACACATATATGCACTATGTCCATGCCTGGTGCCCAAAGAAGTCAGAAGAAGGCATTGGATCCTTTAGAAGTGCAGTTATGGTGGTTATGAACCATGATGTGGGTACTGAGAACGAAACCATGGTCCTCTGCAGCAGCAACAAGTGCTTTTACCCTCTTAGCCATCTCTCATAAGCCTCCATATCACCTTTTCAATAATAAGGGAAAAATTTAACAATAACTGATACACACACACACTCCCTGAAAAAACAGTATGTACACACACACACACACACACACACACATATATATATCTATATATCTATATCTATATCTATATCTATATCTATATCTATATCTATATATCTATATCTATATCTATCTATCTATATATATATATATTTAACTTTTTCCAGAATGAGTAACATACATTTCTTTCCTATAAAAACCAAGCCAGATGGGTAAAAAAGATTCAGAGTAGTTCTGAGTGATGTTTGGTTGTTCTTTGTTGAAAGCTATTCACAGAAAGCTTCCTTTTGAGGCTTTCAAGTGTGTTATCTTACCAAGTACTCAAAAATTTGTTTAAATTATTTATAATAATTTCCACTTTACAGATGAGCAAATGAAGGCTTGAACTGATTAGTGATTTCCCCAAAGTCAAGGTAGAGAGTTGGGATGACATTCTATCTAATATTCTTGCATTGCAAAACAGGTGTGGTTTCTAACACTTAACATGAGCCAGAGGGAAAATGAGATCTCTTTTTCCAGAGGGAGGGAAGGGAGGGGAAGGAAGGAGGGAGGGAGGGAACACTTGCAAGCTGTGGCCTCAGGGTAAGCAGAGACGTTCTTTTAGCACAGAGTGGAGAACTTTGAGTTTTTGGGAGACATAAGCTCCAAGCCTGAACTTCCAAATATCTATGCGTAGATGTCAGGACAATAGGAAGAAGGCTGTGTCCCTGGCCGTACATAGCACAGTGCTCTTAACAATTTAAATGTGGCAGAATCCATGAAACCAATCTGATAGACTCTCACATTCCCTGCATGACTATGTAAAAGGTGGGAGGTTCTCATCATGGTGGAAAAGAAAGATAAACTAAACTTTGAATGTTACAGCAACCTGTGCTTCTGCTGTCCAGGTTTTGTCCACTTATAGCCTTGGGTGCTGAGGTGACTCCAGCTTTAGAGCCTCACTTGTCTTCCAGTGTTCTTGCCTGCCTAGATGCAATCTCCTGAGAGAATCTCCCAACCTCTACTCCTGACCATAGACTATGGAGTCTCTGTCTACTGTGTGTGGGGTGAAATGGCTTGTTTAACAATGAGGTATGGTTTTAAAACAATCGTCTTAAGTAGTGCGGAGAGCACAGCGTCCCAGGTGAGCTGGAAAATAATGGAGTGCACCCGCTTCCTTGAAGCCCTGGTTTGGAGAAGGCCAAGTAGAGATGGTGAGGTGGTTCGTGTAACAAACCACTACCGGCCTAGGAGACTGAGGTTCCTACTCTGAATTCATGGTTACTGGGTGATATTACTGAGGGGGTGGACCGATCTCCTAGTGTTTGATGAGCAAATAGGTAAGATGGATGTGGGTTGGGGTGAAGGAGTATTATGGTACCTGCAACACAAAATAAGAAGGCCCTGAGCAGCAGCAGAAGGTGAGGTTGTGAATGGCCGAAGGGTAAAACACGGATCCATGGAAGCTGCTCCACTGAAGACATCTCTTTGTTTGTGGGCTAGTGTTCTTGCTTTTATCAGCTGAGTGGTTTGTTGACCAAACATGACATCACAGACATTTCAGGTTCTCCTTGCTTGTTTTCATCTGCAAGATGAAGAGAGAGAGAGACCGGTTACCACCTTTTGTATTTCCTAGGACCATGGAATTCTGGAGTGTTCACTAGCTCAGTGGTCACAATTGCAGGTGACTCATGTGGAATTTTGAACTCCTCGGGGGTAACAGTTCAACAACTTTTGGTGGCTGACAGAGAGAGAGAGAGAGAGGAGAGAGAGAGAGAGAGAGAGAGAGAGAGAGAGAGAGAGAGAGAGAGAGAGAGAGAGAGAACCTCGTTGTAGATCAAGTGAGTTGCTCATGAGGCATGAGGGCAGTTTTATTGAAGCCAAGGCCTTTGCTGGTTGGGGTGTAATGTATACTGGGCTTCAGGTTGACCAAGGGTGGAAAAGCTTGGCTTCCATTCTCAGCTCTGCTAAGAGTGTCATCTTTGATTAGTCACATTCTTGTCCCCTTACATAGAAGTTAATGATGCTAAGAATGAGGGCTGTAGCCTAGATAGACATGGCTACACAAATATGTAAAAATTTCATGTGTTTTCAAATTTTCTTGCAGCCGTTTTTATAAAAATCAAAAGAAATAAGTAAAATGGTAGCCTTGTATGCCTCCCCACACATCTCAAATTATTTGTGTGTGTTAGGTGTTTAGATATTCCATCGACCTGGAAATGACTTATTAAGTGTATGTTGAGTGTACTTTTACTTGAAATGTTGGTGGTTAGAATAATAAAGATGTCAGTGTTTTGGATCTTGGAATATCTGTCTATATGTAATATGACACCTTGGGGATGGAACCCAGGTTTAAACATGAAATTAATGTATATTTACTATGTACTTTCCATATAGCTTGACGTCAACTTTATACAATATTTTTAGTGTGTCCAAGTTTTGACTGAGACTCGCTACGTGAGGTCAAATGTGGGATTATCTACTTACTGCAATCATGTAGGTGATCGAGAGGTTTTGGATTCCCAAATGTTTTGTATTTCAGGTTTTTCAGATTAGGGATGGCCTCCATAAATTTTTACATTCTTTCCTGTACGAACTCTGGTCTGGAATGGTGTTAAGCTTGTGATAAATCTTAAAGCGCACCTGTATGTTCAAGAGCTCAGTGGCTCTTCATTGCTGTGGTACCCCACACAGAAGCCCTAGATGGTGTCTGATGTTCACTCAGTTCTGACATCATATGATTCTATCACAGGCTACCCTAGAGACTGCTGCCATGTACTCAGTGATCCTACAGTTGTCCTCCCCATGCTCAAGGCCTCATGTGCCAATCTGGGCACTCATGAAGAAATAATTTGTGGCTAGGATTTCCTATTCTAGATAGGCACTAGGCCTTCCAGGAACCAAGCAATTAGCTCTCCTACTTGCCTTGGGAAACTGCTTTGAGATCTTGTGTGAAAGGAGATAGTGACTACATATGCACAGTAATTGGTCCATGAACATTTCTTCTTACGTAGGCACCTACGTAAGCTCCGCTGCAATACCCGTTTCTGCCCCAAGCCTTCAGAAGCCTAATTAATGATCTCTCGTAAAACCCTGCAAGATGCTGCAGATGAAAGGTGGCCACTGCCAGGCAAACATCCTCCCTCCCCAGCAGCATCTGATTGCACCCCTCTGCTGCTGCACCATTACCTCCCCGACTGACGTCACTTGCTGCAGTTAGCAGTCCTTCTGCCCCAGGAAAAGACAGGTGGGAGAGGCAGGCCCCACAAAGTGATTCATCAAAAAGAGCATCCCCAGATCTCTTGCTGTGGGGCCCTTGCCTGGTGGCAGGTTCTAGGAAGTCAGGTCCTGTATTCTGTAAATTGCACTTGGTGACTGTGCTCTGCTCATGCTGAAGTCAGCCCGTAGTGGATGAGTCAGAAGCAGCCGTGTGGGTTCTTTTGCTCTGAATGAAGCTGTTATTTTTCTTTGTTGAACTGAGTCAGTCTTGAAGAGGAGCTGTGGAGTTCAGGCGCCAAGACCCCAAGCCTTTCAATTTGGCTATGTGAGTGGGGGTTATTCAAATACCTGTTTATCCATCCATCCATCCATCCATCCATCCATCCATCCATCCATCCATCCATCCATTCATCCATCCGTGTATTCATACATTTCTCTCTCTCTCTC